CCCCCCCCCCCCCCCCCCCCCTCCTCCTGGCGCACCGCCCCCCGCTGCACCGCCTGCGCCTCCCATCGCGCCAAGAATGCTGCCGATGTCGAAGCCACCGGCTCCCCCTCCCGCCCCACCAGCGGCCCCGCCACCGCCCCCGCCCATACCCCCGAGGCCGCTCAAGATGTCGTTGATGTTAACACCGCCCCCGCCCCCGCCCATGTTGGGCATCCCCCCGGGCATCCCGCCGCCGGGCATCCCACCGGGCATGCCCCCAGGCATACCACCGCCGCCGCTGCCGCCGGAGGGGTCGTTGTTCATCTTCTTCACCTGCTTGCAGCAGCAAAAGGGGCAGGCATCCGCGCCGCGGGGCGGGTAGGTGGTGGGAATCCCGGATGTTTCGGTGGTGTGTATGAAACGGCCGAGTTGGGTGTGTGCGGTTAAAAATGCTGCTTCATTAACAAGACAAAAGGGGCGTAGATACACTTGCTACACACATACCTCACCGATGTTGCCAAACGAATCTGGGATCACCATGGCTAGATAACAGATGCGGTCGATGCGGCTGTTTGTTTTGCCTTCGAAAAGGCGACTTGGCGCCGGCTGAAAGAGAGGCAAGCGATTACTTTTGTGGTTGCAGGTGCCTTGAGTCCTGTGTAATTCAGGACGCAAAAAGTGTTCAAGTGTAATCAGCACAATGTGGACGACGTCGTCTAATAAGAGGCTTCATTCACACGCGCCCCTCCCCTGGCATGACCTCCAAACGCGCACAACACCAGGGGCACCGAACAGATATCAACGCCTCAAAACATTCCTAGATACCAACCCCTGGCTTGTTCCGCGCCGACCCAAACCCGTCCCTGGGGGCATCTCTTTCAAGTCGTGTCCTCACCTCGACATCCTTGTAGGCGGCGTCGGCCTTGTCTTGTGCCTGGGCGGATACCCCTCCTCCGTTCCCAGCGCCTCCATCGGTGTCGCCGGACGATGACGGCGGAGGTGCGGTGATCCCCTTGGCCCTAGCGTCGACCAGGAGGTCCACGAACTCCGACTTCTCGAAGAGCCCTCGGTACCCGACCCCTCGCTCATCGAGCTCCTTCTTTATCGCGGAGATGCGCATTGCGGAGACCTGCAACGTGCGCGCCAAAGCGTGTGGGTGTGTGGGTAAGTCGTTCGCTGGCGTTGACAGCACCAAACCGGCTGACCACTGTTGGCAACAGCCTTTGGCGGTACCAAAGACAGAAAAACAAAACAAAACACTGTCGAGTAGGAATGAGAGTACGAGTGCAATGCGTGCCTCTGTACACGGCATTGTCGTTCGGCGTACTTTCACAAACCACGGAACCTCCCGCAGGGAAGGGGGGGGGGGCAGAGAGGACAACGGTAATGTATCACGAAGCACGCAGGTGCACCTCTATTTATTGGCTGCGGAGGGATATAACCGGGTTTCTTTCACCGCCTGGAGAAAGCGCTCCTGCCGTCGAGCGAGCAACAGCAAGAAATAGCACTGCCGAGAAGAAAAAAAAAGGAAGACACTAACACGAAAAAACGTGCACTTCGAGGCGAAACCGTGGAACAGCCAATCTTAGCTCGATCGAGCCAGGTCACCTACCTCATCAGTGGCGTCTTCTCCGGCAGGTGCCGCCGCCTCCTCCTCCTTGTTGTCCTTCTCCTCGTCGTTCGCCTCGGTCGTGTCAGCGGCAGCAGCAGGCGGTGGCGGCGTCGTCGACGGTTCCGACGAGACCTTGTTTTCGACGGCCGGCTCCCCTTCATCACCAGCCGCGGGAGCAGCAGCAGCAGCAGCAGCAGCAGCAGCAGTAGCAGCGTCAGCAGCAGCAGTGTCCGCGGTGTCAGAACTCTTCTCTCCTCCCGCCTCGTTGGCCGAAGCTTGTCCTTCCTCCTCTTCCACCGCATCACTACTCTCCCCTTCCCCTGGCGCCTCCCCTCCCCCGTCTACCCTCGCCTCCGCGAGCTTCATCACAAACTCCGACTTCTCCAACAGCCCCACGTAGCTCACGCCCAGAACGTCCAGCTCCGCCTTTATCTGCCCCGCGGTCATGCGAGCCTCCCTGATCTTGGCCGCCTGCTCGTCCACGCCGCCGCTCCCAGAGGCTTGGCCCTCGGCATCATCATCAGCAGCAGCAGGAGTGGCCTCGGTCTCAGGGCCTGAGTTGTCCTCAGAAGGCGGGTTCGTAGCTTCGTCAACTTGAGGATGCGTGGCGGTGGCGGCGGCGTCCTCAGGAGCTGGCGTCGCGGCTTCGGTGGGCTCCGGAGCAGGAGTCTCGGGCTCCGCCGGCGTGTCAGCCGTCTCGTCCGCCGGCGACGGGGCGGTGTCTTGAGCTGCCGCCGCGGCCTCGGCGGTGTCCGATGAAGGGGACTCGGACGCCGGTGCGCTTGCCTCATTCTGGGTTGACAAATGAGAAATAGTGGTTCGCGATTGCGCTAGTTACCGTTGGGTCGGTTGACGGGGTAAAGCAACGATAAGCTTGTGTCAACAAGTGTGTAGAAACCACCCGTCGCGAGTGGAAATTGGACCAGGAAGTAGAGGTCGCGCGCGGGTATCAAGTGAATCGTGCGGACTTCGAGACGGGAGTGCCACACGTCCCGCGCTGTCCGATATTTTTTCTTCCCATATTTTTTTCTTTTTCTCACCCACCACCTCTCTCTCCGCAGCAGTAAACGCGCGGCGTAGCACAAAGTATTGCAAACGCTGCACTGCACGTGCTCCAAATCGCTCAGTTACCCAAGCACTCACCGTTCCCGAAGGAGCCGTCGTCGGCGCTTCCTTTTCCTCAAGGGGTGGCGAGACTACTTCCTCCTTCTCCTCTGCGGCATTCGGTGCTACTGACGTGTCCGTGGAAACCTCCTCTCCCGCCACCTCTCTTCCCTTCTCCTCCTCCTTCTCCCCCTCTGCGCTCGGCTCGGAAGTCTCCTCTTCCTGGCCGGCTTGCTCCTCTTGTTCGACATCATCAGAAGCAGCAGCAGCAGCAGCAGCAGCAGCAGCAGCAGCAGCCGTAGCAGCAGCTGCATCCTTTGCTGCTTGGGCAGCCTCTGCTTCAGCGGCTGCCTTCGCTTCGGCTTCGGCCACCTCGGCGAGAGCTTTCTGCTTCTCCTCTTCGACGCGCGCCGCCTGACCCACCGGCGGGGGCGTTGACAACAGGGACAAACAGGGAACACAGATGAGTATCTCTCTCACGCCGAAAAACACGGAGAGGGAGAGAGAGAGAGAGAGAAAGAGAGGGCAAACAGGCAAAGGCGTGAGGAACACCAAGGCGGTTCGCGTGTCAATCGCGCAAACCAAACACCAATACTGCTGTCTTGTGCTGCCCCTGCGCACAGGACCTTTCTGTATTCACGGTGCCCTCTCTCTTCCACAACACCACAAGAACCAGCAACAACCTACGCACAACGCCTGAATGCAGTATTCCACCCGGACGTTATCACAACATTTACACTACTCGCAGCAGGGGGGCTTGGCTATTACACCACTGTACCTCTTCCTCCTCGGCCTTCAGCTTGGCGGCCGCCTGTTCAGCAGCAAGTTCGGCCTCCTTCGCTGCCTGATGAGATAGGGCACACACACACACGCGCACGTACCGCGAGCGAAGTCAGCGCGAGACTCAGCGGCGACAAGAATCGCGGGATTTGTGCGTTACCGTTATTGCTAAACTTGGGAATTGGAGACAAAAAAAGTGAGCAATCACTCTTACTGTTTCTTAGTTGTGTTCGCGATAAATGAAGGCTACGTAAAGGGTGCAATCGCAAGGGTTGACGTTTCAATGCCTCTCAACAACACATGGCGAATCATCCGTACGTGTTTGATACCGGGGATGCACGTATGTGTACCTGGGCCTGGGCTTCGGCAGATGTCCTGGCGGCCTCCTCCTTCTCTTGTTCGATGCGCAGAGCCTGAGTGCGACGAACATCAACACGAGACATACCCCCGTTTAAACACAAACGGCGGCAGTGCCGTGTAGCACCCGTTGTGCATGAAACAAAACAACAACAAACAACTTGCTACCAGATGGTCAATTTCTACACGATTCAAACACGCGAGCAGCGACTAGCCTACCTCTTCGTGCTCGGCGGCGGCTTGGGCGGCCGCCGCCTCCTCCGCCAGCTTCTCCTTCAGTTCAGCAGCAGCCTTCTCCTCGGCGGCGGCCCTGGCGACTTCCTCCTTCGCCTCCTGGCGAGCCCTAAGCTCTTCCGCCCCTCGTCTCGCCTCCTCTTCGGCCCTCGCCTGTTCGGCTTGAGCCTCGGTGGCTTTCGCGGCGGCGGCGGCGGCTTTCGCATCCTCTTCGAGCCTCGCTTTCGCCTCGGCCACGGCGTCGTCCGCCGCGGGCATGGACTCTCCGGCCTCCGTCGCAGACTGCGGCTGTCCGGCCTCCGGACCGTCGGCCGCAGCCGCGGCCGCGTCGGTGTCAGTCTCACCGCTCGCTGACGATGCCTCCCCGGCGGCACCATCGCCCGTTTCTGCTGGCCCGGCCTGCCCACCGTCTCCGCCACCATCGGAAACCCGAGCCTCTGCCAGCGCAAGCACGTACTCCGCCTTCTCCAGCAGGCCCACGTAGCTGACCCCTAGCGCGTCGAGCTCCACCTTGATCTGGCCCGCGGTCATTCGCGCCTCACGTATGCTGTCGATTTCCCGCTGGAAGGCGTCCGGGCTCCCTCCCCCCGCCGCTTCCTTGCCGTTGTTGTCGTCGCCGCCGGACGAGGAGGAGAGTCTGATGACCGGTGGCCTCACGATCGGCGATCGTGCCCAGCCGACGCCGGCGGTGCGCACCCTGGGAGTGGAATTGAAGGGGGATTGAACAAAGTTGACGAGTGCGTACCGTAAGAGTCGGAGAGTTGGCACGGGCCGGAGAGATGGCACCGGTCGGAGAGATGGCACCGGAGTGCGATGAAAAAACTGAGAAACAACCAATAATTCGATTTACGCATCGGGGGCGGAGAGATCGCACCTGGTGCGATCTTTCCGACCCCCAAATCCAAGATTGAACTCCGTTTCAGCTGCCGGAACGAGGTACATGTGCGTACCTTGTACACGTGAGGACGGAGTCAGCGGAGCGCCACTCCTTGACGTACGATTGGATGGTCGCGCTTCACGCGGGACGCCAGTTGTTTTCATGTTGTTATTGGTATGGAAGTTGCCAACCGTACACTCAAACAAACACACAACATACAAGCCGCACCCTACCCCACCTTGTACAACCCGAAACTATTGTACTTCTGCGTACGTACTGTAATCCGTAGAGGAATACCGAAACGAAAGCGGGAATCGATTGATACCGTGTGTACTGGTACCACCTCAGATGGTCTATTTCGCCCTTTTTCGGGGTATGTTACACGTGTATTTCGATGCCTTTTTTTCGGCTCAGATATGCGTGTGTGTACACAAGACCGTATGCGTGCCTGGATTTCTACACTGGTAGCAATCAATCCTATGGCAACGGTCGGGGAGATGGCACCGGGGTGCTTGCATAATACACCTGTGTGCATTTCATCGGGGATCGCACCGGTCGTAGAGATCGCACCGGGGTGCCTTGAAAATTCTAAACGAAATGATTTACAGTCGACCCCGCTTCAAGGACGCACATGGTTTTTCCCGAAAAAAACGTCCATAAAGCGGGGTTACGTCCTTAAAATTCAGGGGACGATAGCTCCCCATCCCCGGGGTCAAAGAAGGCATGCTATACCTCAAACTACGCGTCTTTTGATAAGGAAGGGTGTGGTACGAAAAGTCAACATCGCCGAGACGAATGGCAACCGTTCATGTCGAACGTATTTACAATACTTAAAATGAGATGTACAGCAGTCGGGGACGTGTTGAACGCAACTACATACAGTACACAAGTTTGAACTTGGCCAACTAATGTACTGCTTCGCTGGCAGCGGAAGAAGGAGGAAAGTCCAGGTAGAAATATATCTTATTCTCGTGAAACTATGAAAAAACGAGCAAATTTCAGCGTCGCAACGAGGAACATCAGTACATATAACTGTCCCGGCAGATCCCGGCAGAGACTAAGCTACCCTGACGACTTTTCCCTTCATTCTCGCGAAGAGTTATCTGAACAACCCCCCGCGGCTTGGCTCTACGCCTCTGTCGAGTTTCATGAGTAAACGAATGAACGGTCTTCGAAAGAAGGTATTGCGTCTCACGGTACTCGCCACCCCTTCCCTTCGCGTACAAACAGGATCGAACGTCCTCCAAGCGAGGGATAATCTCGCCCTCGGTGAGGGACGAGGTTATGCAGGACTCCGGCCTGCCGTCGCCTTCGCCCTCTTCGCTCGATACGTCGTCGTCCATTTCTAAGCCGGCGAGATCCCTCTCTACTGCCCGCAGTTCCAACTCCACCTCCTCTTTTAACACCTCGGGGTCGTCCTCTATCGTAAGCCACGTCTTGACCGCCGTTCGGACTTCCTGCTCTGTGAGGTCTGTGTCCTTCTCGACAAACAAATTGTCCGTCAACACTCTCGGCATGGACCGATAGTCCGTTACGCTAGCTGACATCGACATTTTTTGAGACCATGTCAAAAAGGCCGTCGATGATGGCTGCGTCGTCCTTGTCCTCTCGGTCAAGCCGCGTGTCCATACCCTTGAGAACGTTGCAGTGCTCCCTGGAAAAGATGCCAGCCTTGAGCCAGCACCTGATGACCGTCTGAACGTCGAAGCTACGCCACTTCTGGGAACAGATCTCCGTGACGTCCAGCATTGTCGCCTGTCCTGCATCGCTGAGGCCCCAGCACCCTCTGCCGAAACGAAACACAGGGACGGATGAAAGGGCTAATGTTAAAACCAGCTCGACAAAAAAAGTTGAAAGAACACCATTTTCAGATTCTTCGCAAGACCTGCGACAACGGTAACAAAGAGCGCCCCTACATTGTTGTTTTGAATTCACCTTTGGATTTTTCGTGCACGGACGGTGTCCCAGTCCTCCACGAGGTCTGCCAGCCTTGCCACCATTTCGGTCTTGTACTGGCTCTTGAGTACAAACAGGATGCCCACGTCCATGGGCTGGTAGACAGAAGTGACGTTCGGAGGCAAGGAGATGATGACGATCTGCGGATCGTTGCTTTTGATCTTGTGGCCGAGGGAGTTGTCCCACAAGAGGGCCACCTTCTTGGAGGTCTTTACCTTTGACGAAGGGGACAAAGACTTCGTCAAACCACCGCGGGCAAATGGCTGAGTCGAGCCAGGCACTCTCCTAGGCGAAGTACGGGCATGGCGGTTTGAGGACGTGGCGGAAAACCATCGTTTTTTTCGACGTGCTGATGACGGCCAACGGCGCCATCAGAGACCCGGTCGTATTGCAGCAGGCCACCACCGTGCACCGATCCTTGGCCTTCATGGCCTTCGAATCCCGCGCGGTTTTACTGTTGATGCCGGCGGCGGCCTCCCCCCTCGTGACGTATGTACCCCTCGGGAAGCAGCGGAAGAAAAGTCCCGTCTCGTCCATTTTAAAAGTGAACTCGACGTCGAACTCCTGCAGCTGCTCACGAATCCTCTTGGTCTCCTCTGCCACCTTCTGCTTGTCCACGTCGCCAGCTTCGTGCAATTGGACGTGAGTGGAGCTGTCGCGTTTCAGGAAGCGATGTAGCCAGCCGTTGGTGGCCTTGAAGTTGGTCTTCCCCATCTGCGCCGCGATCTTCAAGGCCTGGGCCTGGATCATCGAACCACTCAGGCCGATCTCGGTTGCCTGCGTCGGGAAAGACATAAAAAACCAGCAGCGACATGGTTTCGATAAACTCTCCCTTGAATTGGTTGTGCCTTCGGTCGGCCAGCTTGAAACAGGTGGACCAGAGCTTGTCGAACCTCCAACCCAGCAGCGTGGTCGAGATTGGGAGGAGGTGTAGGGGCGGAGGGTGTAGGCGTATAGACAACCAAGTTGTATCCTGACCAACATATGACTAGTGCAAAACATGTACTCACGTTAAAGCGTGCTCGTGCGATGTTGATCCGCTTGCGGGGTTTCTCTTCCACTTCGTCGTGTACCGGCTTCGGGGCGCGAAGGGCGTCCTGGTTGAGCTCCATGTCGCAGACTTTCTTTCTCAAGCTCAGCGATTGTCTCCGGGATCATCAATTTGCTGATGTACGAAGTACCGTCGTTCGACTTTGCAGCAACCATGCTCCTCTTAGCCCCCCCTGGACCTCCTTGACAATCTGCAATCGCTGCGTCATCGATAACTTGTTTTTGACGGTGTCCCGTCCGGGCTTGTACACCCGGACTTGTTTGGCGACACTTCCTGTGCCGTCCCCCCCGGCACCTCCGCCGCCTACCCACGTGGCACCTCCGCCACCCCCCCCCGCGGCGCCTCCGCCGCCCAGCCCCGCGGCACCTGCGCCGCCCCCCCCCGCGGTGCGTTGAGGCCGTTTCCCCTTCCTTGCAGTCTCTGACTCTTCGCCCACAGCCGGTTGCCTCGTCCTGGGACAAAATTTGCAAGAGACCAGGGAATTGCGACATGTCAGGGCAGATTGTTAGCAAATACACCCGCGTGAGAAAAAATGACGTTGTGCCCAACACAGCATGCGCTTATTTTCCGGAGAACGAGAGTGCTCGCACCTACCGCCGAGAGACTGCACGCAGGCCAGCAGCTACAAGTTACGCTGAACAAATATAAAACAATAGAATATCACGACTGCGTCTATTTGGTATGTTTTTCAAGTGCGAACCGTAAACACCAGAGTCTGAACGTACAAAAGTTCACTTTCTACATGTGTTGAACAACGAGAATCACTTCGGCAGCGCGGCATGTGAACTGCTTCAGGCGCAAGTTGCGTGCTAGAAGATGCACAGCAGTAGCGAAAGTCTTACTTGGTTTTTGACGCTCACTACAATTGCACACACACCGACACATATTGACGATCTTTTGTCATGACAAAAAACACACACACACACGGGGTCCCAGTTCATGGTAGATAAAAATGTTTTGTTTTTCAACCGCACTGGACTGACGTCTTTTCATTGGTCAGCCGGTTAGCGCGGTCGATGCTAATAACAAAAAAACACACACGCAGCCTTGTGCGGACAATCTCAGTGAGTTTTCCTGGCATGCTGACACTGCTGTTGTTTGACAATAATTAGACGAAAGCAAGGACATGCAATCTACATGTAACATCGTGGTGCACGCTTTCCTGCGCAATAGCTCGACAGCACGCGTTCGGCCGATGGCTGCTGCTGCTGCTGCTGCTACTGACTGCTGAAAATCGCAATCATCACCTGCAGCTGTTGTCCTCGTTGTCGCTACTGCTGTCCACCTCCATGAGACTTGTGCCGGTGTGCCGATCTTGCCTGTAGTCGTTCTCCTCTGACAATCTGTGCACTCTCTCTGCTGCCCGAAGCCTTCCTCGCCGATTCCTCGGCCACAGAAGCCATGCATCGGTCGCCCGCATGGGCACTGGTAGACTGCGGTGATCAGTAGAGATCTCATCGCTCACGTTGGTTCTCCACATATTGTTTTGGCGGCATTAGATGGACCGCCAGTAGATGGGAGGAATCTATCCATACCAACACCCAGTTACAGCTGCAGCAGCAGACCGCTCGCTACTTCTGCTGTCTGTGCGTCGATACTTCAGCACTCACTGTGGTGCGTGGTGCGTGCAAAGAGCGGCCCGCAGGACCCACATGAGGGGGTACGCGGCGGAAAATGGGGGTACCCCATTATCGTACATTCCGCCGGCCCCCCTGGTGCTCAGAAAAAAGGTTTACTTAAGGCCGGGAGTTTCCTTATAGCGAGCGTCCTTGAAGTGGGGTCGGGTCGACTGTAATCGCATGTCCGCACCGGGGTCGGAGAGATGGCACCGGGGTGCGATAAAAAACCCGAGGAAAAAACATGAAAAAAACGATCGCACCCGGTGCCAACTCTCCGACTCTTTACGGTATAAAACAAAACGGAAGTACACATTCACGAGTGATAGGGGTGTTTCCTTGCATGAAGATTGCTGCCCCGTGGACAGCTCTCTTACCACCCTCGCGGTGGCCTCACGGTATCATAGGGTACAAGGACAGAGTTCAGTAGCATAGGGTACATGAACGACAGCTGTTGGAGTCTGTAACTGCTGTGGACTATAGCTGTACGTCCTGCTGTGTTAACGAGGTCATTCACTTTTGGCATTGGTTAGCGCACGAGAGGAGTCTACCAAGTGCTACTTGTCGTCATTAGGTTGTGTTCAAACGAGCGGCCAGAAAGGAACGGACCGAGCGAGAGCGATCGGCCCTCTGGTTGCAATTCGACTGCACGGGAACACCGCCGCGTGTATTTCTTTGCTGTAGTCTACAGGGCAAATCATGTGGCGACGATTTTTTCCACATATGCACCGCCATACGGCGGGCCTGACCCCGCTGCACATGGCGTCAGTCACTGCTGCTCGTTGGTCTGGTGCGTCGTGATGAAGGCTGTGGCTTTCTGTGCCGTAGATCTACATATGCATTTGCGCAAACATGTACGCAGGGGCAGATAAGATCATCATGTGTGATCCGCGTTGTCAAATGTTTTTCTAGAAAGGACGTGAGGGCGACCGAGAACAACCGTGCAGCAGAGCAGCACCACACACGAACGACGTGCGACACGACAAACCTCGCCCAACCACACATGCACACAACATGCACGCCTGAAAACAGCCACAGGATCACACACTCTGGGCGTTTACCTGCTCTGGTCGGTGCGCTGAACGAACGTGGTGCCGCCGGCAAGGCTGCGCAGTTGAAGTCGTGGCTTGGTCTTGACAGGAGTCACGAACGCGAAGGAGCCCACGAGATTCCACAAGGAGCCCACCACCGCCACCAGCACCAGCACCTTAGCACTCATGGTGGGCAGCCGCGTGTGGTCCATTTCTTTTGCCGAGAGGATTGTTCTGCGTTTCGTGCACTACCCTAGGATGTTAGGATGACACGTGTTGTGTTGCGGCGAACTGACTTTGTCACAGAACATGTCAACCAGCTGATGCGTCATTTCGGAGAGTTCTACAATTTTTGAACCACACATTCGGGGGTAGCTTTTTGGCCGTGTCTTGAAAAACCCGCATCTCTGCCAGCTCATCTCTGCTCAGCTCTCTGCTCAGCTCGTCCGCTCAGCTGCCCTCCTACGTGATGCTTGAGCAGTGTGGGCAGGGCTTCAAAACCTACGTCCCTCACCATGCCTTCCCATGAAGGCCTAGGGGCCGGGACAAGCGACATGCCCATAAGCGATGTCGTGGGCTCGCCCCCAAAGATAAGCTTCGTCAGAAGCAATCCGGAGTACGGCTACCGGTCGGCTGTCGAAGGCACTGCCGCTGCCGATGGCCTACACCGATTGCCTATAGACTCCATCCGCGAGCGTGATTTTCCTAGCCTTCTACAGCCAGTAATAGACGCCACGGTGACAACGTCAACCCGTCGGCGGCCGCAGCAACACCAGCAGCAGCAACAACAACAGGTGGACCTGGTTTACCTCGATCACGCAGGGGCGACCCTCTCCGGGGTGTCCCAGCTGAGGGAGGCTATGGAGCCCTTGCTTGCCGGGGCTGTGCACGGGAACCCGCACTCTCAGGTACGCACCTCAGACAGTGCAGGAGATTTGCAGCGGAGCGTGTCCATGGTACAGACAGGAGCCGACAGTTCTTCCACCCGCAAGAAAATGTTTGTGGCGATCCGACATGTTGACTCAACACGAAAAGTATTTTGAAGTTTCAAAGGGTTCGTACTCGCGAAAAGCAGCAGTAGTGGACGAAATGCCCGAAGCATTGCTGTGAAGTACGCACACATGCTGATACGAAACAACGATACATAAGAAAATACTTGTGCCTCAAAGCTTAGGGCAAGTCTGCCGTCAGCTACGCTGAGAGCACAGAATCAACGAAGATGAGTGGGTCGAGCCTCTTCGTGGAAGTAGTTAACCTCGTGGTTGATTTTTTTCTCGTTCGTACATAACATGACACATTTTTTGGCAAGCGCACGCGTACGAGGACTCCGCCCTGTTAGGCCACGAATGCTGGAAAATCTTCCATACAGATTGATATCACGACCTCCACCAGACCCATCCGAGATCGGGGGACAGTCATCCTTAACCCTTTTGGGCCTACAGGTTTACTGACCGATCATTGATTGATCATTTGCAAATGCTGGTGTGGAGACCGGTTCGAAAACTAAGGTTCGATACGATACGCCAACCGTATCGAGAAACAAACGTAAATACCGATATTTTGTTCCATGTTCTGAAATGGCTCGATACATATCGAGTATCGATAATCGATATCGATGCGACTGTTTTGAAGGCCGTAGGTTACAAGAGCGAGCGTTACGCAACTACACGTACCTTGTGACACCCAAACCCTATCGCAAGTACGCAGCAGTGCGCGAGACGTGCGCGCATGGTCCCGCAGCATGGAAGTAGGTGTGTACAATATGAACACCACGAACACAACACAGTCACAAGCTGCGATGTGATTTGCCGCGTAGCAATACCGCTGCTCGCGATCGTGCAAGAGGCAGGGTGGTTGTGTCGCTGTGTGGTGTAGACCAGATATTTACATTTTTCAGCCAAGTATATATGTGTGTATACACTCCTGTACTGTTGCGATCGAATCAGAGCAAGCTCAGTTGCCTCTGCAAGCAGGTTTTCATGGCAACGCGGAAAAACTTCGAACATTGCTTTCATACCTTAGACTAATACAGTGGGGGGGCCGCTATAGTGCCGGGTAGTGTCCAGAGGGAAAAGCGGCACTATACCGGGCACCGGCAGTATTCAGAATAGTGCCTCAATAGTGCCGGTTCGGCAGTATTGAGGCTTCGAATATACCTCAGTAGTGCCGGTCCGGCACTACTGAGGAGGCAGTGATTTCATGGTGCAGCGCTCAAGCTTTGCGGGGTCAACAGAGTACGATGTGGATCGTGGATCGAAAATGAGTGTAGGATTACTGGACGTCTAAGTCCTCGTTGCCCTCCTTCGATGTTGCCCGATAAAAAAAGACAACAGAGAGAAAGAACGACGACAGGAAGCGCACCGCACGAAAAAATAACGACCATTACTACTACCACAGCTGTTCTCCCCGGCCTCGCAACTTAGCAGCAACTCTCTCTCACGTGTGCCTGGCGCACCCCCTTGGATGTTACAAGAAGAAAAAAACAAAGAAAAGCACGACAGGAAGCACACCGGAAGAAAAGGAAACAACCATTGCTACATACAACAGCTGCACCCCACTCCAGGCGCAACAAACTCTCTCATGTCTGCCTGGCGCACCCGCTTAGCGGAATGCGCTGCAATCATTGCCACTTCGCTTTCGTTAGGAAGAACGCCGCGTCTCCGTTGCCACTCTCATCTGCTGCCGCTTCTAGGACGCTGAAGTGAGGCGACAGCTCAGCATAAGCAGGTGGAGCACGGCGCTCGGGCCCCGTGTTGTCATCGCCACTGCCCTCCTCTTCGTCCTCCCTACCGCCTGTTGTCACGTGCGTTCCAGCCAGCAGTGCCGCCATTTCGTCCACTGCGTCCAGTCGAAGAGCCTCTTCCACCTCATCGTCGTCCTCGATGGTAGCCCACCCCTGAATGGCGCTCACCGCTTCTCCCTCGACCGGCTTCCCGGGTTCGATGTCGAGTTCTGCGAAGGGCTCGCTGATCTCCTCGTCTACGGTGCCGGCTCGCTGCTCGTGCGCGTCGCCGACGCTCGTGCTCATCTTGTTGACGGAAGAGCTCGCTGATCTCCTCGTCTACGGTGCCGGCTCGCTGCTCGTGCGCGTCGCCGACGCTCGTGCTCATCTTGTTGACGGTCTCCGTGAGAGCCTTCAAGTCAGGTTCGGCGATGCTAAACCGAGTCTTTCCGTGTTGTTTGGTGAGCTCAGCCGCCATCTCCGGAGGAAGCGTGTCGGCCTTGACAAAGCACCTGGTCCCAGGTAGCAGAAAATGCAATGCATCCGTTTTTGGGTGGACAAGCGATGTTGGACGGGAGTGACGAAGAATGACTCATAGGAATGCGAGAGAGGGCCCTTTCGTAGAACAGGAGAAATGGGCATGTCCGGGTGCTGCAATACTCTGTTGAAAAAAAAGGAAACCCATGCGAAACTATCCGTACAACCGTCCCCACGTATCGCACCACCAAAGCCACGCGCACTTGCGGGAGCTGAAAAAAAACAGCAATACCACATGTTCAAACCTCACCTGGCGATATCCTGGGCGGTGCCGCTGGCCCATGCTTTCTCGAGAAGTTCAGCGGCGTCCCGCACGTGAGGTTGGTGCCCTTGCGCCAGCCTCATTGTCCCGGCCTTCATCTTGCGGGCTTTCGCCTGGGCGCGAAGTGTGTCAGCCACGAACATTGTTGATGTCTTCACATCGATCAGCTCCTTCCTGTAGACGAATTTCGTCTTGGCGATGACCCCCAGATCCATGGGCTGGTGTACGCAGGTGCACAGCGGAGGGTAGGCCTTGGTGGTCACGTGCCCCCGGTCATCCACGAGATCAACGTGAGAGGAACAGCCGTCCATCAGCAGCAGCACAGGTTCGTGAGTGAAGCGCCGAACGAACGGGAGGAAGACTTCAAGCCACCACTTGAGGAACGTCGCAGAGTCGGACCACGCGTTGGCCTGCGAGAAGTACTTCAGAGGTGAACCCCCGTCCTTGAAGCAGCGGGGTTCCTTTGCCTTCCCGACGATGATGGCCATGTCCACCTTCGCAGTGCCGTCGGCATTGCAGCACATGATGGCAGACAGTCGGTCCTTGAAGTACATGCTCTTTGAACCCCGCACCGTCTTCCCATCCTCCAAGGTAGAAAGGTACATGCTCCTGGGCAGGAGCTTCCACTGGAGGCCTGTGTCGTCGACGTTGAAGATGAACCTAGCCGTGTACTTCGTCCATGCCCTCCTTGATAGCCGCCCTGTCGACGCTACCAGCCTCGCCATGAAGTCGCACGCTGTGGATGTTGTTGCGCTTCACGAAGTTCTTTGCCCATTACTCGCCGGCCTTGAGGTCCTCGACCCTCGCCCTTACTGCTGCAGGAGTTGCGGTGTCAGCCAGCAGGGTTGTCCTGGCGGAACGGCCGAAGCTTCNTCTTTGAACCCCGCACCGTCTTCCCATCCTCCAAGGTAGAAAGGTACATGCTCCTGGGCAGGAGCTTCCACTGGAGGCCTGTGTCGTCGACGTTGAAGATGAACCTAGCCGTGTACTTCGTCCATGCCCTCCTTGATAGCCGCCCTGTCGACGCTACCAGCCTCGCCATGAAGTCGCACGCTGTGGATGTTGTTGCGCTTCACGAAGTTCTTTGCCCATTACTCGCCGGCCTTGAGGTCCTCGACCCTCGCCCTTACTGCTGCAGGAGTTGCGGTGTCAGCCAGCAGGGTTGTCCTGGCGGAACGGCCGAAGCTTCGAAGGACATCGCGTGTGACGGGCATCTTGACCTTCCGGGCTTTGGCGAGCAGATAAAGAGCTATCGCATCCACAAGCCGCCAAAAAACGAGTAAATAAGCAGAAGATCTTACCATTAGTTTCGAACATTAGCATGCATCCTACACTGCGCGGCGCGGTCAGGCGGGACAACACAGCAGTCGTACCTTGAAGAGAGACAAAACTAAACACACAAGAAAAAAGGGATGGATTATGTATATCATGTCTGCTGTACATATATTACGGAGTACATAAAAAAATAAGAATAGGAAAGACGCGAAGAGGGGGACATCAACAGCGGACTAGCCACACAGAAAGGAAAGGAGGATGAAAGCGGACATAAATATGTGAGAAAACCGAGACAGACAAACAATGGACAGAAAAAACAAGAGAGACAGCATCTATTGTACCAGTGAAAAAAAAAATGAAGAACGACGACAAGAACAAAAACATGGACGAAAAAAAAGTCCAGCGAACAGCGGCCCGCAACAATTTTGAACAAGGCGGGGAAAAGAAAGCTCACCTCCGGAAAGTCTCCCTTGCGCGCGGTTTTCTGGGTGCCGCCGCCTGCAGCAGTCGCAGCCTCCACCTTCATCCGGTCAGCCTTCACAGTCCTAACAAACCGCTCCGAGCACCCGGAGCGGTCTGCAATCTGTACTTGAGAGACCTTCGCATCCAGCAGCTTGAGAATCTCAAGCTTCGTGCTGTTGTCCGGGCGCGCAAGAACACCCCCCTTCTTGCTCCCACCGCTCTTGTCCTTCTGGCGTTTAGATGGTCCCGCCCCAGCACCGTCAGCTGCTGCCGCTTTGCGCTTGCCAATCCTGGTAACGCACGTGCTGCATATACGGTGCGTCTCCATGTCGTCAAACACGCTGCCGCAATTGCCGTGGAGCCGCCCTCCACATCCTCCCTGGCAGACGTGGCCATGAGGGTCTTGCGGCGCTCTGTCCTGTTGAAGGAACAGTTCACCTTCCGCACAAGGCATGGTGCGCCTCTGCTTAGAGCTCTTAGGGTCTGCAATAGCAGGTGTACACTCCGTCACTGTGGCATCTGTCCTCTGGTGTCGTGGTGTGTGTGTGTGTGTGTCTACAGCAGTGAACCAGCACTATTGGGGGGCACAGCGGCGCCCAACCGGCACTGTAAGGGGCCATCCCTCAATAGTGCCGGCCCGGCCCTACTGAGGGCGCTGTCTGTGTCCAGAAATTTTACCGGCAGTATTCCGGGCACCGGTACTGTTCAACCGACACTATGGCGGGCCCCCCACTGTACTTGGAAGTACATGTTGGGGCTGACTTCAAACTAAGCCATGGGAAAAGTCTGCCGCATACAGTCGGCTTTTCACAAAAGGTTGGGCAGGAAGTTTGAGAGGTCTATCGTCTTCGGGGATACGAACTCTTGTCCTTGCGTTTGTCTCCACTCTGAGATGCGGCCGCTGCTTCGGCCGCTTGGCAAGCGGCAGCAACAACGGCAGAGGGGGCTGCTTCTGAGGAAGACGCGTCCACTGCAGAGGCAGCGCCATCGCCGGCGACAGAGCCGAATTCTTGGAGGCTCATGTTGCAGGTCGATGTGGTACTCAGCAAGTGGTGCGCAGGGACTGTTTGTGTGGTGTGTGGCTGATGGCTGGTGTGCGTGTAGTTGTAGTGGCATTGGGGCGTGGCAGGAGTAATAGCAGAGTAGAGTGGGGGCGGGAGCGAAAAAAGGGGGTCGACAACTGGTAAATCAGCCCCCTTCGGACCAACGGGGGCCAAATATCGAGATATCAAATATCCGATATCGGTACCGATATTGATTCGTATTGACCAATACCAACGCGGAAACCGGCGATACCGACACAGTACACGCCGATACGTACATATCGAAATTGGATCGAAACTTGATGTACAATCTCCAACCCTGCCGTGGAGTTCCCGCCCTCTGTAGCCCTCCACGCCGGATGTTAGAAAGTCCGAAGGTGTATCTTTTATCTTTGCATCGACTGCGCTAACCGGCTGGCCATTGAAAAGTCGTCAGTCCTAGCGGATAGCACCTGTTGTAGGTATCTAGGTCTCGGAAAGGGCCAAACAATGCGCAATGCACAAAATATGAATGCCAATAATGACATTTTTTCACGATGACACACATCAGAGCATCACGCATAACCTCACCCGAACCAAGGCAGCCACTGATCCAAAGAGCAGAGGGCTGCAAAAGGGATATTTCAAGCCCAGCCGAAGCCAGGATCTCGTGGTGTGCTGCATCATTATTTTTGCAACTGTAACCTTCCAAAAATCCAGCAGTGATCGTGTCAGCTGCTACACATCACAACACCAGCGTGGACGAGTCAAACAACATGACAGTGACATATCATAGCTCCACACATACCGTCGCCCGAACCCAGGAAGCTGCTACGTAGGTGTGTGGTGTTGGTGTGGTGGTGTGCTTGCGTGCTTGTGGGAAAAAACAGGAGCCCTAGTGAGCCGGCAGGGCTCACATAAGGGGTGGGCAGAAGTTAGAGAATACCAGTTAATACCAGTTATGGGCCTACAAGCCCTCTCACTTCTCATTTTCACTGATCATTTGGGCTATTCTGAAAATAGGGAAGCTGAGGCAGCAAGACGACTGATCATTTCAAGGTCTACAAGGCTACCTGCCCTTCCGACCGCACCGTGACCACCCGTCCGCCCCTCTACGACTCTGTCTGTGGCCACCCGCGCGCGGGCTGCTCGCATGACCTATTGGTGGAGATAGCTGTTGCGCCTAGAGAACTACACTTTGCCTCCTTCTCCTCACTTCTGTGTCTTTTTTTTGGCGGGGGGGAGAACAATTGACAGCGAAATGGAATCTAGGCCCAAAGGGGTTATTAACCAAGGAACAACATCCGACCCCAAACGTTTTAACAGGGTCCCGTCGCAACCGTTACCGGAGAACGCATCGACGCCGCCCGCCACGCCGTCCTCCAACACTTTGGCGTGTCTCCCCAAGAGTGGAGCGTGGTGTTCACTTCGGGCGCGACCTCTGCCCTGAAGATGGTCGGCGAGCAGTTCCCTTGGCGACGACATCGAAGGGGAAGGGGAGGGTCCCGTTTCGTTCACGCGCGGAGGAGCCACAGCTCCGTTCTCGGCATCCGTGAGTACGCCCGCGCCGCTGGTGCCGGCGTTGAGTGCCTGGACTTGGACCTTGGCTTGGACGGCGTTGCAGGTAGTAGCAGCAGAGGCTGCAACTTCTCGTCGACGTTTCCTGAGGACGACCGGGCGTGGGGACAGGTAGCACAGGGAAGGTGGGAGGGGGAAGTAAGGGACGAGACGGAGGTACCGACGGAGAGGGATACATGCTGGTGCGATAGTGGTGGTTGCAGCTGTGGCGAAGCTAGCGGCGGGGGAACCCGCTGGGGAAGACCGGTCAACACCAGCGCCAGCACGGCTGTTGGCATCTCGACCTCGGGTTCGAATGGTGACGACAAGCACGCGGTGAACAACGGAGGCACTAGTGGCGGTAGTAGAGATGGCGACGATACCAGCATCGACCGCGACAGTGGTAACTCCGACGCTGAGAATGACGAAGGCGACGAGGGGGTCGTGCACTCCCTGTTCGCTTTTCCCGCAGAGTGTAACGCCACCGGCTTACGCGCCGACCTGGGCATCGCTGGGCGCGTGAAGCAGGGGGCCCTCTCTACGCCCGGACATGGCTACCGGCTCTCCCACGGCCGACACCGCCGGAACTCCGACTGTCGCCACGGCGGCCACCTTTCTTGTTCTCGCCATGACTGCCGTGAATTCGTTATTTCTCGCCATGCCACCTCGCCAGGCCACGTCAGAAACACCCATGACGATAGCGATAGAGACCGCCGAGCTCTGGAGGGGCTCGATTCCGACCGGTTCGACGACGCCAACAACAACGGAGAAGAGGGAAGAAGAGATGGCGATGAACCGGCTAATTCGGGCGGGAGGCGACGACAAAGGCGGCAGCGGCGGCGGCTCCAGGAACGGTGGTGGGTGCTGCTAGACGCAGCGAAGTTTGCGGGCACGGCGTCGCTCGACCTGTCCAGCGTGGAGGCAGATTTTGTTTGTCTCTCTTTCTACAAGATGTTTGGGTGAGTTTGTTGTGGCTCTTGTCGCGTGTGGCGCTTTAAGCCAAGGGGTACAATATTGTGGCGAGGAGAGGAACAATCAGGAAACCGAGTATGCTGGCGTCCTCGCGTTGTATGTAGTGCTGGAGGACTAACCCGTGCCACAGCTATGCCCACGACGGGTAAGGCAAGACAAGCTGCACGACAACTCTCCCGTCGCCTTACCGGCCTCTTTCCATTCTTGCTCCGTCCTCCTCTGCGCCGCAACCGACTTGGCCGGACCAAACGTCTGCATCACGTTAGCTACCCGACCGGCCTTGGCGCCCTGATCGTTCGCGAGAGCGCCGCGCACGTGCTCCGAAAGGTTTACTTCGGCGGCGGCACCGTGGCGGCCGCCCTTGCCGGCGGCCCCTTTCGACAGTTTCGTCCAGAAACGGAACGGCGGCTCACCGACGGCACCGAGAATTTTCTCGGGGTCTTGGCTCTCCAGGTTGGTGCGCCATGGCGGAAAAGTTGCCTGGAAAGATGAGGGACAGGAGAGGGCACACGAGCCGGGAGCGCCAGAGATAAAGAAAGGGTGGAATGTTTGTGTAGTACTCTGCTCACGTTTGCTTGGCTCCTAAGTACGGCGCAGGGTGATACGCGCGCACGCCATCACTCTTCGCCCCGTACGTGTTGTTGTCGAATGTTGGTTCTTGTTCGTTTTGGAATTCCTCGCTCGTTTTTCCTGTCTCCCCAACAACGACAGCGCGCTGCGCTGCATTCCGCTGTCTTCAGGCGGGGTTTGGGGCGCTGACACGCATTGGTGGAATGCAGGCCATCGCCGCCCACACGTCGTCCCTGGCGCGCTACCTGCACGCGCAGCTCTCATCGCTGCGGCACGCGACCGGAGAGCCGGTGCTGAGGTTCTTCGGCAGGTGGGAGAGGGAGGCATCGGGGGCGGGGTCGGCACCACCGGCATCAGCACCGCCACCAGCAGCACCGACACAGGCGCCACCATCAACAGTATCGCCAACAATATTCCCTCCTATGGCGGAGACGATGGAGTCGGGGGCCGATTCACCGAATGTGTCAGGCGCAGTAGAGAGAACGTACGGAAACAACGGTTGCCCATTCCAAGAGACGCGAGAGGCAGAGCAACGAGGGAATCCAGAAGAAGACGGGGCTAGGGCAGAAAAAGTGGGCCAGGAAGTGACCGACACCGAAAAAAAGCGACACAGCCTGTTCGTGGGACAAGGGCCGGTGCTAACGATGGTCTTTCTCCGGCCAGGTGGGCAGCACGTCGGGCACGCAGAGGTGGATAAGATTGCCAGCCTCGAGAATATTCAGCTGCGGACGGGCTGTTTCTGCAACCCGGGGGCGTGCCAGTCGGCTCTCGGCCTGACAGATGACGACGTTAAGGAGCACCTGGAGCGGTGAGGCAAGAAACAAGTAGCGTGAAGTTCGGCTTCCTTTGTATTTTTTGCTCTAGCCTTAGCTTGTGGGCGAGAAAAAATGCAGGTTGCCTGGTACGAGACGGTTTCGAAGGGTGCGCACGGAAGGGTGTTCAAAGGAGAGGAATTCCTGTGATTTTTGCCAGCGCATGGGATGTGGTGTGTTGCGGTGCGTATTTGTTGTGTACAAAACGACACCTTGTTACCTCTCGATATAGTCTAGGTATGACCCTACGATGTCGCCGCGGCAGAATGGCCCCCTGGCCTTGCTTCGGACGACTTTCACATGCCTGGACCATGCTTGGTGGCTTCCCTCTCTTTCCCCCCCCCCCCCCCCCCCCTG